AAAAGAGTACTTTAAAGATGTCTCCCCAGGCCAGGCACAATGGTCCACGCCTGTAATCCCAGCACTTTGGGAGCCCGCGGCAGGCGGATCACGAGGTCAGGAGTTTCAGACCAGGCTGGCCAACATCGTGAAACCCCATCTCTACTAAAAATACAAAAATATTAGCCAGGTGTGGTGGCATGCACCTGTAATCTCACCTACTCAGGAGGCTGAGGCAGGAGAATCACTTGAACCTAGGAGGCAGAGGTTGCAGTAAGCCAAGATCACACCACTGCACTCCAGCCTCGGCAAGAATGACTCTGTCTCGAACAAAAAAAATAAAATAAATAAAAAAATTAAAGAGGTCTTTCCATTTTATTTTGATTTGCTAAGTTTCTGATGAAAAGTCTGCTGTCATTCTTATCTCTGTTACTGTGTACATGATGTGTATTTTTTCTCTGCCTGCTTTCAAGATTTTCTCTTTATTATTGGTTGCCAACAATGTGATAATGATGTGCCTTCGTGTGGTTACCTTCATGGTTATTCTCCTTGGGATTCTTAAATATGTGGGTTTATAGTTTTCATCAAATTTGGAAATTTTCTGCTAATCATTTTTTACAATCTTTTTTCTGTTCTCTCCTTTCTCTCTTTTTTGGGGCTCCAATTACATGTATGTCAGACTCTTTCTATCTCTAACAATTGTCCTTGTTACAGTCATTGATGCTCTATCAATTTTTCCATTTTTCTTTCTGTTCTCATTTTTGAGTTTCTATTGTTGTCTTGAAGTTCACACATGTGCAGTGCCTCAACTACTATTAATGCCATCATTGTACTTTAAAATTTATTTCCAACTCTAGATGTTCTGTTTAGGTTTTTAAAAAATATACCACACTCCAGCCTGGCAACAAAGCAAGACTCCGTCTCAAAAAAATAAAAAATAAAATTTATTGTGAGAGATTCTGTTCTTTCAAATTATTTGAGTGAAAATATCCTTTTGTTAAATGAAATGATGGTGACAGGAGATAGTGGTGTGACATTTCCTTTTACTGGCTGTACCTGGTAGAAATAAAAAATCAGGCCAGCCATGGTGGCTCACAAGGTCAAGCGATCAAGACCATCCTGGCCAACATGGTGAAACCCTGTCTCTACTAAAAATACATAAAATAGCTGGGCATGGTGGCATGTACCTGTAATCCCAGGTACTCAGGGAGCTGATGCAGGAGAATCACTTGAACCCAGGGGGCAGAGCCTGCAGTGAACTGAGATCACGCCACTGCTCTCCAGCCTGGTGACAGGGCGAGACTCCGTCTCAAAAAAAAAAAAAAAAAAAATCAGCATTTCTATTGTAGCCTTCTAATTTTGGGGAAATATTTCTGTAGAAATCTAAAAGTCTGACCCTTTACATCATTATGGCCCCAAAATAATATGGCAGTTTACACACAGATAATACATGCCCCTAAAGATTCTCTCTTTAATCCCTACCTTATTCTGTTTGGATTAGCACATTTGGGGATTGTGAAATGAGAATAAAGTTGAGTATAAGCTATCCAAAACCATGTGCTGACACTGAATCCTGAAAGAGGTCTTTCTTTTTGCCAATCTTTTTCATCTGTTAACTTTTCTCGGGCTCATTTTTTCTTTTTTTTTTGAGACACAGTTTCTGCTCTTGTTGCCCAGGCTGGGTGCAGTGGTGCGATCTCGGCTCACCACAACCTCTGCCTGCCAGGTTCAAGTGATTCCTGAGTAGCTGAAATTACAGGTATGTACCACCACACCCAGGTAATTTTCTATTTTTAGAAGAGACAGGGTTTCTCCATGTTGGTCAGGCTGGTCTTGAACTCCTGATCTCAGATGATCCACCCACCTCGGCCTCCCAAAGTGCTGGGATTACAGGCGTGAGCCAGGTGGCTTCAAATTTTCTTGAGACGGAATTTCGCTCTTGTTGTCCAGACTAGAGTGCAATGGTGTGATTTAGGCTCACAGCAACCTCCATCTCCTGGAGTCAAGCAATTCTCCTGCCTCAGCCTCCCAAGTAGCTGGGATTACAGGTGTGCACCACCACACCCACCCACCTAATTTTGTATTTTTAGTAGAGACGGGGTTTCTCCATGTTGGTCAAGCTAGTCTCGAACTCCCGACCTCGGGTGATCCGCCTGCCTCAGCCTCCCAAAGCGCTGGTATTACAGTTGTGAGCCACCACACCCAGCCTGGGCTCAAACTTTCTTTTCCTAAGTGTCACATCTTTGAGTAGTACTGCTACATGGCAGTCACTACTCAAAAGAAACTAACTTGAGGTGTCCAATAATCAGCTTTCATTTAAAGTCTCTTTCAGCTTGACAAAATAAAAACTTTCAATGTTTTGTCTACGTACTTCCAAAAGAAAATTAGTCTATATATGTATATATATATGTGACTATATATGTATATATACATATGTGATTTTGATCAGCCTGTTTATAAACTATTTCCAAAATAAGTTGAAATGTAAATTCATTTATTAAATGAGTAGTTTATAAACTACTTGATTTTTGCAAGTAGTTTATAAACAGGCTGATCAAACCAAACAAATTTCTTAAAATAATTTCACTGTATAGATAGCAAATAAGTTATTTACTCTTATTAGCATATCTTATTTTTACCTATGCTTAACAAGCATCTAAGTTAAACTGTTTTATGTCCACAGCTACACACTGAAACAGCACTTTCGGTCACAACATATTAAATTCAAATTTAAACTATAAAGAGATCCAGTTACCTTTAATCTTACATGTACTTATATATACTTTTAATATACTTCTTGATGTTTTATGATGCACACACAGCTCTTGCAGGACATATAACTATGAGAATATTTACAGTGTCTGCTTATTAAATGGTTCAAAACTCTTTTTTAACAAAGTCAATTTTAAGAACTTAAATATACAGTAAGGTACTCCTTCCATGCCCCAATGTTAAAAGGTACATTTATTTTAGACTTGTTTTTTAAAAAAATCTAAAATTGGTAATAATTCTGCTTAAATTCCATATTAAACTAGGATCAAAAGTTATTTTTAGTTCTTTTTTCTTTTTTTTTTTTTTTTTGAGACGGACGGAGTTTCGCTCTTGTTACCCAGGCTGGAATGCAATGG